CTTCGATTTCATTCAGATGTGCATGTAATCTAGAAGCACCTCTGCGTATAGAGGCTTGCAAGGCTTCGCAGTGAACCACAAAATCGTTCTAAACATTTTGAAAAGCAAACATGGACAAACAAAGTAAATTTTTTGCTCTATCCCAAACAGCTTTACCTTTATTGAAGATGCTGACTTATTCTTCTTATTCACAGCTTCGGCACTCTGACGGCTGCCACATCTCGTCAGAATTTTCACGAGAATTTGACAAACAGCCAAAGACTGTAACGCTCGTGAGCTGAGAATAATTTCTTCTTGTATATAGAATGGAAACTCTTTCTTTTCAAATTGAGGCAACATGGCTGGAATAGACGACTGAAGCATATGTGTGATATTTATGAGTAAATCGAAACGCTTGCTACTCACCGCTCCAATCTTTTTCCAATTGGTCTACAGATGGTAATAAGTTGGGTGTAAGTTCGTTTGAACTGTTGGCAGCAGCAACCTAGAAATAACATACTACAGAACAGACTAGGAAAGCGCTGCTGTCAACATCAAGGATTTTCCACAGTTCACCAAAAAATGTTCAACGTATTTTGAAGATTCAACAATAAATTTGATATTATAGCAAAGCTAATCAGAGGAAATTCTCATGTTCATCTGATTTCAAGTTTCAGGCTAATTGCATCGGAAAATTTCAAGCAAACAAAAGCTGAACCGTAACTGTAGCAAAAGGTTAAAAGTACTTACATCGACAGCAGATTGAAGCAGACGTAAAATAGGATCCAAAAAGCCGCCATGTACCCAGTGCGATAGATAAATGGGACTAGGAGACTGCATAACTCGGCTCTAAAAGCTGTGTTCAAGAGAAAAGAAGTTTCACTCAGGAGAAAAGTCCTACACAGAAGCGTTGAAGGCAGCGTCCACTCAAACTGGTGGGTCTCGCGATTTTACAACTCTGAAGTGGCGGAACCCCAAATAACCTATCAGTGAGGTTTGGAGCGAAAAAGCGCTTCCGGAAAGCTCAAAATCCTCTCTGGAAGTCTTCTGAGCCCCGCCCACTTCCAGACTCCGCCCACTTCTTACATGTAA